TTGAACACCACTCTTAACTTCGTGGTTGCAGCGTGCTCGCGGAATACACCATGATGCGGTACATAGTACCCGGCATCGCTCTCACATGGCTCCAGCTCAATTGCTCCAAGCTCGCGGTACTCCCTGATCAGCACATCATCATAGAGCGCACGCTTCCCATTCCTCTTCAGCTTTTCAAGAAGCCGCGTTGCGATGACTCTAGCTTGAGCAAAGTTATCCGTTGGGCGACGCTCATTTCGCCACAAGAGACCCACTTGGTACCCGCTGCCCTGGCGACATAGCGGGAAAGATGGCAGGTGCTGATGTTGTTCTGGAGGTTCATCCAACTGCCATAGTTGTTCAATGTGGGCTGTGACACATGACACGGTCACCGGCTGACTGTTTCGACTTGGTGCAGACGCTGGACCAGATAATACATTACCTATCTCTGTGTTCCACACCGTCTCACCATTAACTTCCTTCTTGCTGTGCAGTACCGCGTTGATATAGTCTGCACCAATCAGCATATGTATTTCGTCTGATGTCCCTTGTTGAGGCTTGTCACTCAGCTCTACTCCCCAACTGTGCCACTGCGCAATGGTCTGCGGACTTGCGCACTTCAGGTCCAGCTCAAGCGTTGGTTTCACGAACGCGCGTACCCGAATGCTAGCGGAGCTACCCTGGATCGTGATGGCGTACTTATCCATGCGCTGTTGGGTTGGTTCCGCGCCGAACGGCTTCACCTCTACATTTTCAACCCCAACGTGTTCTGCATCGATTGCTGACACCAACGCTGCAGTCACGAATGACGCCTCAGCACCCGAGTCCAGGAACACGCGAACCTTCGCGTTTCGAGTTCTTCCCTCAACTCATGCCACTCCGGTCATCAGCCGCACACTTGGCGAGTGTAGACAGCACGACCCAACATTCTTCTCCGTAACTATCTCAGTCGGTTTCTCCCGGCTATAACCTGCTCTATCCAACACCTCATGTATTAGCAGGTGGTGTTTCCTCTGGCATTTCGTGCATCTCGAGCCTGACCGACATTCTCTGGCCATATGGCCATACTTAAGGCAGTTCCAGCAGAGTCTCTCTCGCTGCAAAAAACCCTTTCTCCCTTCCAGTGGCAGCGACTTTAGCTGCTTCTCTGCATCTGCGACCGATATCGCCATGCACTGTGCCGACGCCGTGGGCCTTGGCACGGATCGTTCTACTGGCTTCCTGGCAGTATCACCCTGTCGCCCGTGCGCGACCTGGTAAGACGCGCCGTGCTCCTGTACCTGGCGCAGTGACATCCCGTAGCACTGCCGTTCGACCAGGTACGTCTTCATCTCAGGTCCGCATTGCTCCAAGATTACCTGCTTTGCCATTGCTTGCAGCACCGGGGACATTTTTCCTATATCGGCGCTATACTTGGTGTCCACCTCGCCATCTTCTGTCATAGCGAGTGTGGCCCACACCTCTACCTCTCGGCAAACACGGACAACGTATTGATGAAACGACTCATCTGACCGCTGCTTGCCTGTCAGCAATGTCTTCCACGCTTTATCCGGAGTCTTTCCGAGCGAGGCAAGCAACTCTCGTTTTGCTTCCTCGTAATTATTGCATCCAATACATATCCTCTCCGCTTTGCTACCCGCTAGCGCGATGCGCAGTCGCAGCAGCCATTCGCTTTCTTCGAACTCGTTCTTGGAACAGATGTCCTCGAACAAGTCAAGATAACGCTCCAATGGCTGCGTTCCATCATATGAGGGGATTTTCATCACCGGTTGACGCCCACCGCTGTGACTGGGAGATTCCTCCGTACCTCCCATCGTGGCTTTACCCTCACCCTCCTGCGCATTGGCGATGCGCTCGTTAATCTCCTTTAGTGTTTTGGCAAACTCGGTGCGGAGCGCCTCCTCTCGCCGTCTGGCACTGCGCTCCTCACGCTCCGCGTACTGTTGGAGCCTCTGCTCCACATGTACCTTCAACAACTCGCCTTCTAATCCTAACCGCTCTCCATTGTCGATAAAGCTGGCTTCCAAATTGTTCCATAGTTCCTCTGCCATGCTCGCTCCTATCCTGGCGTGGTCGCCAAATGTTATGAACCCTCTAAGATTCTCTAAACTGTCAGGATCGTACGACCGCACGAGGACAACTCTTTTCCTTTACACAGTATATTTCACTTCATCTGATAATTAACAATGAACACGAATAACACCAGCTATTTATAGCATGCAGAAACAGCGTACATGCAAAACATAAGCATATAAAACTGGACAAAACAGCGTATACAGCAAAACGCACACAACGCATATAGCGTATGCCATGCAGCAACATCAGCGGTACAGCGGAGTCGAAATACAACATTTCAACGAATACAATGCCATAAGCGCGAAGGCCTTTCCCAATTGAGAACTGGTGGTTTACAACACACTGGTTATAAAACAGGTTAAGACAAACTCACAGAATAAATACCATCGGTCCATTGGTGTTCGTCCTAAAGAGGTTCGACTGGATATTATTCATACTCACCAAAAGACGTGTAACATTTTATTATTGTGGAGTGCCTTGTTTATCTCTCAGTACCTCCAACCATAGCCTTGCCCCTTTTATCCTCAGGATCAGTGTAGTTGTTGGAACGAGGTCTCGGACTCAGCAATGTATTTGTTTACATTTTAATACATGTTTATTGTTCCTCCTTTGCTGTGTTGTTTTAGAAAATCGTGGACTGACAGTTTGAAGTCATTGAACTACTTCCAAAAGTTGTATCGACATCAATAGGATTACCATTTCAGTGCAATATGATGCAGGATGACCTTATCACGATAACCCATGATTATAAACCATTATAAACACAGAATCAACAAAAACATCTGCGACACGCACCTAGCTACATTTCTCAAATAAATCTGATCAAGGGTGAGAAATCTGAAATATCTGAAAGGCAAGACAATTTTATGACAGAGTCATGACATTCTGCAACAGCAAGCTGCAACATGCACAGAATGACCTCCGTATAAAAAAAGTATCACCACCACCAGACCACTATTCACATGTTATTGTTTCCTCGCAGAAGAATAGCATTAGGCTCCTGCCATTTTCTGCAAGAAGAGGCTTGCACATCAATGCGTATAATACGGTATTGATATGATGTGAAGGCCATCATTTACATATTGATATAGGGCATTCCATTGATTAGTAGTAGTAGTATTGACATATCCGCGGCAAGCCGCTTATGTACAACGGCATGGGAGAGGATAAACAAAAAATGAAAATAGAATTATTGTTGGGAAATCCACGCTATTATCGAATATTCAACAATGACATTGATTGGTGACAGAAAAAACAAAAGAAATTATAGCAATAAAAACTGCTTTATGGCAGTCTTCTAAAAAACGTTATTGTGTTCTAGTCCATGGACCCCGTCTAAAAAGTAAGAAATTAACGAAATGTGATAGACGAAAATTAAAATTTCACACAAAACCTCACAATAATCACACACAGAATGAAAAGCTACATGTAGAAGACCTTTCCCCTCGTGAACCTCTTTCTTATGCATGCATGTTGCCAATTGTTGGTGCAGTACAAGTTTAGTGTTGAAAGCAGCATTTCAAGTGTTGTGATTATTGTGAGGTTTTGTGGGAAATTTTAATTTTCGGCTATCACATTTCGTTAATTTCTTACTTTTTAGACGGGATCCATGGACTAGAACACAATAACGTTTTTTAGAAGACTGCCATAAAGCAGTTTTTATTGCTATAATTATCGTTAGTGACAGCTAACAAGAATCGATAATTTCCTTAGCGATTAGCAAACGGTTAAAGGGGAAGTTAAGGCAAAAATTAAAATTTCACCAGTTGTAGTCTTCGGGGTGCTGAGTCGAATGGTCTTGGTCCGAGAAAGCTGAGACGCTCCCTTCCTACTTGAATCCCAATCGAACTCGCGCACTTCCACCGTAACTGGGTGACTGCGCCCTACTAGATGGGGATTTGTATGCAAAATGTCACTAAAAGCGCCGTTTCGTTCTTATAAAAGCACGGATGACCGCGATTGGCCCATATGTTGTAGTCTTTTGGACGCTGAGTCGACTAGTTTTGGTCCGAAAAGGCTGCGATGCAGCGTTCCTCCTTTATTCCCAATCGAACATGGCTGAACAAGCGGTCACGTGCTCCTGGGTGCCCAAATCACCTGGTCACCACGCCAGCAGGCGACAACTTTCACACCAAGGTTCAACTCGAGTGACAGGACTGCACCCAAAAAAAGTCAAATAGGCTAGTAAGTTGTACCTTGCAGGCACGGTCACCAGCTGACTGGTGTACGCAGGAGCACGTGACCGCTTGTTCAACCATGTTCGATTGGGAATAAAGGAGGAACGCTGCATCGCAGCCTTTTGGGACCAAAACCAGTCGACTCAGCGTCCAAAAGACTACAACATATGGGCCAATCGTGGTCATCCGTGCTTTTATAAGAACGAAATGGCGCTTTTAGTGACATTTTGCATACAAATCCCCATCTCGTAGGGCGCAGTCACCCAGTTTCGGTGGAAGTGCGCGAGTTCGATTGGGATTCAAGTAGGAAGGGAGCGTCTCAGCTTTCTCGGACCAAGACCATTCGACTCAGCACCCCGAAGACTACAACTGGTGAAATTTTAATTTTTGCCTTAACTTCCCCTTTAATCGATCATATCGTTTCAGCCCTAGTATGAGGTCATGATTACAAATGATGTACACATATCACGCATCAGAGAGGCAAGGACAGCAGAAGCGACCCGCGGGGTCATGCGCCATTGGAACGGCTACGTGTACTACTAGGTTGCTATGGCAGCGGAACACTAAATCTTTGTACACATGAATAGTTCAATGGTGTACAGTGCGCATTGCATCATCAAAATGACGTCAACTTGAAATTCTGTCGGGACAGCACCCATAGTGGAGTTGCACACTCTGGGGGGTTATGTACTCTTGGCGGCGCCCATTGGCAGCACCCGTGCCTCCAATAAAGGTACGGAGTGGCTTGCGACACGCAGGCTCTAGTACTTAGTAGTGCTGTGGCATGCCTGCGAATGTACGTGCGCTGGACCAGCGGCCTGCAGCCATCAGGGCATACTCCGGTGCGCCTTGATCCGCCATGTGTGTGGCTCCCCCGGCGCGTAAGGAATGGCTGCTGATGCTCGGACCTAGCATTTTGTGTAGGACAGCATTGATATCGTTCGGCGTGAGATGGCGACCATCCTGAAACTTGAATAGGGGTTGCTTGTCATTGCTCCATTTGCTGGACCGGACGCAAGCCTGCAGAGGTCGGACGGGACATAGTGCGGGGTCAGCGTAGCGATGCAGCGCTACCTTCCCGCCTGTTGTTAATTGAGACGTCTTCGTCCTCTGGAGCTGCAGAGAGGCCTCCTGCTGGGCTAGTTGGAGGTGTTCGCGCCTCAGCGTCTTGAGGCCGCCGGGACCGTCAGGTGACAGCGACGTGCACTCGCTCACACGCAGCAGGCCGTGGAAGGCTGTCGTCAGAGCAGCCCATAGCATTAGTCTGTCTGCCGGGGAGTACAAGGACCGATCCAAGAACTGGCGGAGAGCCTCCAGCTGGTGGATGGTGATCGCTTGGCGCTGAGGGCGTGCTGACGGATGCCTGGGAAGCGACGCTCTCTCCCACTCTAAGCCCTTGAGCAGGGCTGTGATGCGGCTTGAGGATGTAACCCCGACCGGGCCTCCCATGCGGAGGAGGTGGTATTTGATCGCGGCCAGGTAGACTCTCAGAGTGCTGGCGCTGACTGAGTGAGACATTGCGGCAGCGAACAGCAGGACGTCGTTCTGATCTGGAAGATGTGCGTCGCGGCGCATGCGACCCATGAACTCCAGGAATGCACGCCAGCCTGGGGCGTACGTGCGCTGTGTGTCAGTGGCTACCGAGTTGGCAATCAGGTGCTCTGCTCGCGCTGAGAGAGCGGCGGCTAGCGAGCCTAGATAATGCTTTCTCCAGCCAAAAACATGCCACCTAATGCCGAGCACTGCTACTTCTTCAAAACACCCATATAATGCTATAATTGTAGTTATAATGCTAGCATTAGCCGCCGATGCCTACTGGGGACACATCCCAGCCATACTATTCCGCATGTGTTTTGATTTGCACTATATTTATTTATTTTAAAAAGCATGAACACCGTGAAGCCGATGAATATTCCAAGGTTGTAATTTTACTGAAATGATCTACACTTTCTGCTTATGTCGAGCATATTTTGGCATATTTTGGCATATCTTTTTGCATATTTGTTTAAGCCTTTGGCATTATTATGGACGTTTTCCCTGATATGCGACGGGCATAATATGCTCTTTTTTTAAGCATATTTGGTCGAGGCCTAAACCTGATTGACTTGACTCTACACGCGACGAAAAATTATTTTACTCGAAATGTCCAGAAATGTACAATGTCCAGAAATAGCAATTCACCTCGTACCGCGTACCAATAGTTCTACGTACTCTTCGCTCTTGTACAGATTGTCTGTGGTAAAATAAATAAAATAAGAATATAATGGTAGACTCGCCTTCCTAGGGGCTCCCGTAAGAAGACCTATACATGTAGGCGCTAGGCCTAGATCCGTGGGAAACACCCTATACTCGTCATGGGCAGACCTGCATCGATTTGGTACTTGTTTCCACTGGAGTCCAGCTTACACAGACAGCAGTGCACCCTGTGGACGGTATCAGCGACCACGACCTAGTTATAACCCACCTAACATATCCAACCATGTCTACCTGTCCACTCTACACAAATATCAGGAAGCCGAGCGCCACAGAAATAGACCGGGACGCTCTATTCCGGACCGTGGACGAACAACTGACGTCATTCCTCCTTGCAACAGATGTAAATATCTTGGCGAACAGCCTAACAGCCATCCTCACGTCAACTTACCACAAACTCTGCCCCGTCCGTCGCATCTACGTACCATCCTTCAGCAAACCCAAACCTCAACCCTGGCTGACTCCTCACCTGCGATATCTTTTACAGCAGCGTAAGCATTTGCACAGAAAAGTTCGGTCACGTCCCTCTGATCAACAACTAATGCAACGGTACCGGGCAGTGAGAAGGGAAGGGACACTGCTGAACAGGCGCCTGAAGTCGGAGTTCCTAATGCAACAGTTCAGAAACATGAAGCGTGACCCCAGAGGCCAGTGGTGTCTCTTAAATAAGCTCTCTGGTCGAGCCACCACGAAATCCACCCCTGCAGCGCCACTTCCAGCACTCACTGCAACATTTGCGGCAGTTTTCCACGACCCAGCCAGGCCAGGAGTGTTGCAGATACCAACAGACAGGGATCCGACAGCACCTAGCACCCTGACTGACTTCACCTTGGTCAACACTGAAACAGTTGAGGCTCTACTGACTACTCTCAACTCCAACAAGGCCGCGGGTTCGGATGGCATTCCTCCCTGCATCTTAAAGTCATGCAAAGCAACTATCACGGCCTCACTAACATCCATAATCAATCAGTCCCTACTTTCTGGCGTTTTTCCAGCCTCTTACAAGCATGCACACGTGTGCCCACTCTTCAAGTCTGGAGACAAACTTGCAGCCACCAACTACCGGCCAATATCTCTGTTGCCCGTTGCCTCCAAGATATTGGAGAAGGTTGTCCACCGGCAGATTACTGAATTCTTCCGTGACCACCCAGAGCTGTCTGCCTTGCCACTGGAGCAGTTTGCGTACCGTCCAAAGCACAGTTGCGAAGATGCCCTCGCTGTTTCCATAGATAAGTGGACAAGAGCACTGGACAATGGCCAGCGATGCGCGATACTGTTCGCAGATATGAGCAAGGCTTTCGACCGTGTACAGCATCAGCAGCTGGTCAACGAGCTGGCTGACGTAGGGCTAGGCGGCTCGGTGCTGAAGTGGTTCGCGGACTATCTGTCCTCCAGAAGTCAACAAGTCGTGGTCAATGGGGAGCGTGGTGGGACTGTGCCCTGCACCAGGGGAGTTCCGCAAGGGTCCGTCCTTGGCCCCCTCCTCTTTTGCGTCTACATCCGCAAGGTTCCACAGATTGTTCGGAACAGTATTTCTCAGCTCTATGCCGACGACATCGCCTTTTTCGTCATTGGAACGGACCTCTCTGTCATGCTGCGAAAGCTTCAGGATGACCTTAGCGCTCTGGAGCTCTACCTAGATGACAAAGGACTTCTCATGAACCCTGACAAGACGCAGTTCCTGGTCCTTCGGCGCCCACGCCAATCTGTGCCGCATCTACCAATCCCCCTAGTTTGTAAAGGCAAGCCCCTCACCCCTGCAGCCACCGTGAAGTATCTCGGACTACTCATCGACGAGCATCTCACCTTCCAGCCGCAAGTCGAGAAGGTCTGCGGTTTAAGACATGGCCGAAAAAACCTAACACCTGAAGCGAAGAGGACGTTTTATTTATCCATTGTGCAATCGACTCTCCACTATGCCAGTAACGCTTATCTGCACTGTCTCAGCGCCACCCTGTTCAATAAGATCGTGAGGGTCAGTCACATAGCAATGAAGAAAGTTTTTGGGTTTGACCGTATGATGTCTACTGAAATTGTTCTCCGCAAATATCATCTCTATTCTTTTGAACAGCGCATAAACCTTCAACTCTATGTTTTCGTGTACTGCTGCTTGACCCCACATCTTGCTAGTCCCCTTCTCCAATCCTTGTTCCAGTTTAGGGCTGCTGTGCCTGGACACCAGGCTCGCACGCGCGGCCAGGCACAGCGCGCATTAGTTCTTCCGCCTGTTTCTACGCAATATGGCATGCGTTCTATTTCTTTCCTGGCGGCAGACAGATATATATATATTCTTTTATTCCACGATGGCGTGACGCCAATAAGGATGATTAATAAGTGCGATAGAACTGGTACTAGCCAGAAACAGCTAGATGGAAATTAACTGGGAGGCAAGAAGCAATGGATCATGAAAAACAAGCGGGGGCAATAATGTTAGCAGGGGTGATCAAGATAGTTAAGTACACGTTCGAGATATCGGAAACCAGGGGGATGCGCGGAGCAGGAGCAGGTACTGCTCAAAAGAAGACTGGATGCATTGTTTCGGAAAGAATTCCTACGAGGTTGGGTTGTGATGTCGATAGGGAGTGAGTTGTAGAGGGTGAGGGCACTGTTGATGGGGGAGTCTCGGTGCCTGTTCGTGTGTGCGTGTCCGATGGAGTAGGTCCTTGTCTGTCGAAGGGTGTATGGTTGGTGTTGACGTTGTGGTGCAAGATGTGGTTGTTGCAGGTGTGGTGGGGAGGTTTGGTGGTGGATGTCCCATGCTAGTAGGGCTTGTTTAACAAGGAGTCGTGAGCTAAGGGTGGGGAGCTTTGCGTGATGGAGGAGGGAGCTGTGGTGAACTGGTGCAAAGAGGGGAATCCGAAGGCAGATGCGTATAGCACGGCGTTGAATTCTCTCCAGTGTGTCCCGCTGTTGCTGTGTGGTGTTTGAGAGGGCAAGGCTGCCATATTCGAGAACGGGTCGGATGTAGTTGGAATGCTCTTCCCACTGACTGCCGTCAGGCCCCGTCTCTCACTCTGTATGTAAACATGGTAAAAATTCACCTAGGGTTCCCAGTAAAAAGGCAACGCCTGTTGGGATTCCCCTAGTAAAAATAATAAAATCTACTACTACCGTAAAGTACCGTTGATCCGCCCCCTCTCTAATTCCCGCCCCCTGTCGATTTTCTCCTTGTGAAGCGACTTCGGCGTATACAACGAAATACGATGTTGAACCGACGCATACACTGCTGTACACAATACTTGCCAATCCAGGATCAAAATGTGCACAATCCAGCACATTGAGACTGATCCTCTACGTTGTTGTACATCGTACTGCACTTGACAGCCTTGATCTAATTCCCGCCCCCTGCCGAAAACCCAGCTGGGAAGCGACATGGCGTGGGGGCGGATCAACGGTACTTTACGGTACTAGACTACTACCGGTACTCGGGGGGTTATGTACTCTTGCTACTACTACCCTATCATTTTTTAGAATAGAGAGGTTCTGCTACATGTACGTGAAACGCAGAGAAATCACGTAGGCCCGGGAACTCTCTTCGCGTTCCCGTAACGGTGAAATGTGTACTGGGACTTTCCCCTTCCATATTTGGCAGTTTTCTGCCTGCAGTTGATCGATACGCAGCAGATCCATACTATACGCATTTTCTCTGCGTGTGCCACAACGTTGAGAACCTCATCTCCGCGTAGAAATCTGGAGCCAAAACACGCGAAGCTGTAGACTCTAACCCAGACACCTGCTCTCTACGTGATTTCTCTACGTTTCGCGCAGAACCTCCCTCGTACTAGTTAACCGTAAAATCCCGCCAGATGCAGAGCGCCCCTATCTCCTCGACGCTTCGTTGGGGAGGGGCGGATGGGCGAGTCCTCGTACTTGCCGCATTCAGTACTCCATGAAAAAGTACTCAACCTACGAAAACTGGTCATACACCGACCAAACTCCAAAGGCCATTATGGCCCTCCGAGGACACCGGTCCCGGAGCAGAGTTGCAGTAGCTCAACCATCATCGACCGAACTGGTGGTTGCTGAGTTCAATTTGCATTTCTGAACTGTGGCATGTGCGTAGCACTCAAACAAACATGTGCGCACCGCACCGCACTGCACTGACTGTCTTTAATGCTTTGTAATAATAATATTATTGTTCTTATCACTGTAGCTCCTCATTGTGTTTTATTTTTTGTTTTTTTACCAGGCGTGGGCCATCCCCTGATGTCATAGGTACCAAACTCCAAAGGCAAAGGTCAAGATGCCAGGAGCCGGAGTCGTACATCAGAACTCAGGGAAGGGGGACACCTGGTCAAGAGGGACAAGCCTTGAGCCTCTTGTACGAGCAAAATTACACATTTGTGAAGAATCAACACAAGTACATAAAACGAATCATCAGATACAGTAATGATTATTATAGAGTCTGTCACTCAGTAGGATCACTGCAGGTTCACTGGATGCGTGCCTCCGCCGCCACTAGCACAGCAGGGGACTCAGGCACGGCAGGAGCAAGCATGCTCCTTGGCTTGAGCCACGCAGGCACATAGCACCACAACGCACCAGGGCAAACCCAAGGCCAACACTGCAACAGGCCAGGGTGGGCACTGTTGCGTACATTTCCAACGGGGTCAAGCACGCGTCTGCAGTACAGTACGGTAGAGTCATACGAGGATACAATCAATCACTTCCGGAATTCCCTGACAAGAAGTCAGGGAGCTGCCGGAGGCCGGCTGAAGCCAAATGCAGTGCATGCCGCGCAGAGCGTGGTCAAACAAATATTTCCCGATCCCGCGAAAGCGCCGGTCCACCCATAGAGGTTATGCGATAATGTCAAATCCGCCATATATAGGAGGCAGTTGGGGTGGCAAAATGCCCAAAGCGGGTACAGAAACCCCTTATATAGAAGAATTCGGGGTGGCAAACGTACTATTATGACGTGTATCGCATACCGGTAACCTAGTACCTATTGTGCAATAGATCGTATATCGGGATGTACACACGTACACTGGATGAAGTGTATAGGCGTATACAAACCTGCAGTAGCGCAGGACAAACACGAGCACCGCAAGGCACCAAATCTAGGGGCGGCGGGCCGCGGGAGAAGCCTCTTGTCTTGAAGGAAGTCCCAATCAAGGAAAGCACCGTGTTCGTCCCGAAAATGTGTACTGGGTATACCGTGTACTGTACTAGGACTGTGTGGCATGGCAGGCGGTAAAATCTTGTCTATCCTCACTTTGTGTTTGGCAGTCGTCGTGTAAACATCTTCGATTGCTCTGTTGGTGAGTGAGACTTGGATTGCTTCTAGGGCAGCTCTTGAGCCACGGGAGACAAACTTGTGCCTGTTGTCTTTCTTGTTTCCTTTCTTCCGCCGGCCTGGTGCGGGATATGGCTGTGGAATCGCATACAGGTGATAACAACGCAAGCAGTCATTCACTGTATTCAAACGGTGGTGTTTTGCTAGACCTGGTTGCGCTATGGCTTTCTCTGCACTGGTTAGTAACGGAATTCACTTTTTCTCGTAACCGAATGGAGTTTTAGTGCTGCCAAATCGTGCGAATTATTTGGGTGATCATATCCTCAATCTGCAGACAGCATGCATGCTGCTCATCAGCGCAGCACAAAGAATGAGGCTGAACCTGATGGCAATGCAAAAATAAAGTTACCAAAGCCAGATTCACAACCAGGCCGGAAAGTAGCAAGTCAGTGAGCTCTGTGTAGATGTCCAATAAATTACCCTCTCTCCGAAACAAACAACTTTCTTCAGTTGACAACCCCCCCCCCCCCTTGGGCCTTACCTTCTCCGAAAAAAATTAATATCGAAGAAAGTGTCTGCTTATACAAAAGAGAAAGACCAAGGAACTACAAGTTACGCTATACTGTCCCACTAACACCACCAGTTACTAGACAATCAGCTCATGCGATACCATTGCACGACACTGACACTGACGGGCAGTATAGCGTAACTTGTAGTTCCTTGGTCTTTCTCTTTTTGTATACTGAATTCGACCTTGGCTCTCCATCTGAGTCCAAAGTGTCTGCTCCAAATATTATTGCAAAACAGGCACTGTAAAGCATTAAACTTTCGCGGCGCGCAAAGTTTGCGTTTTCAAGAATTGGGCTGGTTCACGTTGAGAAACTTTGGCGATTTCATCTCTTCAGTTGGATCATGCACTGTCTATAATCAATTTTCAGAGCATTTAGCGGCGATTTACATTCGCGAATGTGCGATGATCGCGAAAATAGCGAAATTTAATCTTTAGCGAAAATTTTTTTCACTTAACAGTAGTATAATGTAGGTGCATTTGTTCCGTACTCCTTGTGAGTTTTGTGCCTTGTTGCCCTCGCTGACTGTATGATCTGGTTACTTTTATGGACAGTCAGGGCCCGTACAACTGTCCTCACAGAATACCCGGCGGACAAAACCCATAAATTATGCGCATGATTATGCGGGCGAAAACGGGCCATTAGTGAGGTTAAGTTTCACGTAAAAGTCTTACGTCCGTGAACTTTTAGGTCAAAAAGTGAAAAAACTCACGTAAAATTTGACGTGTTTTACGTGAGTTGACTGTCCCGCACGTAAGTTCATGACGTGAGTTTTTGGAAGTTTCGCTTGGTTATCCTGACCGAATTTGTGTGAGTTTCCGGAATTTTATCGAGATTTATCAAGTTTGTTGGAAGATTTGATATTTGTGCGAACTAAACCCGAATCCTGCCAGGCAAAAATTCACGTCACGTCGCACGTGCCTCTAAAAATTACACGTAACGTGAGATTTGCACCGCGTTTTGAAAAAGGGCAAAAACGTGTAACTTAACCTCTCTAATATGCGGCATTTGTGTGGGATTATGCGGCACATATGCCGGATTGTGCGGTCCTTATGCACGAGTTACTGTCACTAATACAACTTTATTCTAGCTACAAGCGAGGGTCCCTGGTTCGAGTCCTGGTGGTGACGGTCAATTTTTTCTTCAGACTTTTCCCGTTTGTGTCTTTCCCTCAAACTAGTGAAGATTTTATGACTTGGGGCTCCCCGCGTGCTAGAGTGTACGTGAAGTGTGTGGGTACAGTGAGGGCTGCGTCCCACCCGCCTGTGTGGATCCAAAGGAAGTGTGAGTTATGAAGTCTGAAGAAAATGTTGAACAGTCTCTGCTGGGATGACGACTACACCATAGCTCAGTGGTTAGAGCATCGCTGGCTACAAGCGAGGGTCCCTGGTTCGAGTCCTGGTGGTGACGGTCAATTTTTTCTTCAGACTTTTCCCGTTTGTGTCTTTCCTTCAAACTAGTGAAGATTTTATGACTTGGGGCTCCCCGCGTGCTAGAGTGTACGTGAAGTGTGTGAGTACAGTGAGGGCTGCGTCCCACCCGCCTGTGTGGATTCAAAGGAAGTGTGAGTTACGAAGTCTGAAGAAAATGTTGAACAGTCTCTGCTGGGATGACGACTACACCATAGCTCAGTGGTTAGAGCATCGCTAGCTAGAAGCGAGGGTCCCTGGTTCGAGTCCTGGTGGTGACAGTCAATTTTTTCTTCAGACTTTCCCCGTTTGTCTCTTTCCCTCAAACTAGTGAAGATTTTATGACTTGGGGCTCCCCGCGTGCTAGAGTGTACGTGAAGTGTGTGGGTACAGTGAGGGCTGCGTCCCACCCGCCTGTGTGGATTCAAAGGAAGTGTGAGTTACGAAGTCTGAAGAAAATGTTGAACAGTCTCTGCTGGGATGACGACTACACTATAGCTCAGTGGTTAGAGCATCGCTGGCTACAAGCGACGGTCCCTGGTTCGAGTCCTGGTGGTGACGGTCAATGTTTTCTTCAGACTTTTCCCGTTTGTCTCTTTCCCTCAAACTAGTGAAGATTTTATGACTTGGGGCTCCACGCGTGCTAGAGTGTACGTGAAGTGTGTGGGTACAGTGAGGGCTGCGTCCCACCCGCCTGTGTGGATTCAAAGGAAGTGTGAGTTACGATATCTGAAGAAAATGTTGAACAGTCTCTGCTGGGATGACGACTACACCATAGCTCAGTGGTTAGAGCATCGCTAGCTACAAGCGAGGGTCCCTGGGTCGAGTCCTGGTGGTGACAGTCAATTTTTTCTTCAGACTTTCCCGTTTGTCTCTTTCCCTCAAACTAGTGAAGATTTTATGACTTGGGGCTCCCCGCGTGCTAGAGTGTACGTGAAGTGTGTGGGTACAGTGAGGGCTGCGTCCCACCCGCCTGTGCGGATTCAAAGGAATTGTGAGTTACGAAGTCTGAAGAAAATGTTGAACAGTCTCTGCTGGGATGACGACTACACCATAGCTCAGTGGTTAGAGCATCGCTAGCTACAAGCGAGGGTCCCTGGTTCGAGTCCTGGTGGTGACAGTCAATTTTTTCTTCAGACTTTTCGCGTTTGTCTCTTTCCCTCAAACTAGTGAAGATTTTATGACTTGGGGCTCCCCGCGTGGTAGAGTGTACGTGAAGTGTGTGGGTACAGTGAGGGCTGCGTCCCACCCGCCTGTGTGGATTCACAGGAAGTGTGAGTTACGAAGTCTGAAGAAAATGTTGAACAGTCTCTGCTGGGATGACGACCACACCATAGCTCAGTGGTTAGAGCATCGCTGGCTACAAGCGAGGGTCCCTGGTTCGAGTCCTGGTGGTGACGGTCAATTTTTTCTTCAGACTTTTCCCGTTTGTCTCTTTCCCTCAAACTAGTGAAGATTTTATGACTTGGGGCTCCACGCGTGCTAGAGTGTACGTGAAGTGTGTGGGTACAGTGAGGGCTGCATCCCACCCGCCTGTGTGGATTCAAAGGAAGTGTGAGTTACGAAGTCTGAAGAAAATGTTGAACAGTCTCTGCTGGGATGACGACTACACCATAGCTCAGTGGTTAGAGCATCGCTAGCTACAAGCGAGGGTCCCTGGTTCGAGTCCTGGTGGTGACAGTCAATTTTTTCTTCAGACTTTTCCCGTTTGTCTCTTTCCCTCAAACTAGTGAAGATTTTATGACTTGGGGCTCCCCGCGTGCTAGAGTGTACGTGAAGTGTGTGGGTACAGTGAGGGCTGCGTCCAACCCGCCTGTGTGGATTCACAGGAAGTGTGAGTTACGAAGTCTGAAGAAAATGTTGAACAGTCTCTGCTGGGATGACGACTACACCATAGCTCAGTGGTTAGAGCATCGCTGGCTACAAGCGAGGGTCCCTGGTTCGAGTCCTGGTGGTGACGGTCAATTTTTTCTTCAGACTTTTCCCGTTTGTCTCTTTGCCTCAAACTTGTGAAAATACACATTTAGTGTACAGTTTCATTAAAGTTTACAACTTTGCCGTACAAACTCACGGATCGGTATGACTTTGAAGTACATTTTCAACATCATGTACTATTTTCTTGTACATTTCCATGGCTAATGCGGGTTTTATAGAAAATCTCTCGAAAATGAGGAATCGTGGTGTCCAGTGGGGACAGGTAAAAATATTGTGTTATTCCTTTTTTTCCTTTTAACCCGCAAAAAAACGTTTGCTATTTAGACAAAATGATGTTCTTAAGATTGTATTTTAAAATGCATGTTCATGTACTTCCTCCGCGTCATTAAAATTGTCGCTTCGCACATCGCAATATTTGAGACTTGGCTCGTCTTAGTCAGACTGTCGGAATCGCTGTGTTTTGTGTTCGAACACTGGTGCGACCCTTCCTGCGCGATGTCTACTTGTCACTGAAGCCGTGGTGGTCTCGGACTTTGTCGGAGCTCTCTTCCGCACCAAGCAAATTCATCGCGCTCCGCACTATTCCGCCCCAGAGCGCATTTCGTTTTCTGGAGTTCGTGCCGTCCCACATCGTTCGCGCGGGCATTTATCAAGACTGCAAGTTCGGGTATAAGAATCCTGGTATCCCTCCTGAATACGAAATGCTGAAGTTGACGATGGCAAGAACAAAGCGGATTCAAATTCCTAAAATGCGCTACTTGTGGCGCATGTTGCTGCGAAGGTATCAGGTCTGAAAACACCAACAAAATCAGCAAAGCGCTTGTCGAGGAAAGAAGGTGCGAAACTGCTTACCCTATCCCGCTGGAAGTTCGTTACAGTGTACTTGAAAAATGCTAACTTGCCTTCATCGCCTGCCACCTGGAGGCATGGATCCCTTGAAAACGAAGTTTCTTGACCTGAATTTGACCGCGCGTCTTGTTAAGCGTATTGTTGAGTGCTGAAGGGTCTGCCTCAAACTCTGATGAATACGTCGACCTTAGCTGCAAGTGAGCGAAGCGGGGGGCCACAAACTAAAGCTTGGTCCGTCGACAATGCTCTGCCTCAATTTCTAGCTGATTTCTTTGCCCTTCGAGTGGACAAAATAAATTCGAAAACTCGCTCTGGGAAGCTACAATTTTAATGACGCGGAGGAAGTAAGCGACAACACAGTGGCAGGACCCATCCCGGCTGCCATCCGTACTGTATGCAGCACAAACTGTTTTATCTCTCTTGTCCGCACCCACACTCCTACGAACCCGTATGAGCCCTCTCGATTCCTTCCACGTGTTGTCATAGATCAGACCCACGTCTGGAGCGCTGAATAGGGAGTGTAATTACGTATTTTTTTGTATTGTATTTTACTTGGGCATTCTGATTCTGAACAGACCCTAAGGTCTTCTTACAGATTGCCCAAGATGAAATAACGTATGAAGATCCGTATGTCGTACGCGCTGGGGAGGGAGGGCAACCTTCATACTTGAATCTCTCTACGGATTTCCGTAGGAATGCTGTTTCCTACGTTGGGTCCTCCGTTGGACTTTTTGAAATATTTTCGCACTTTCCGGATTTATCCATGGCAACGTCCAGGTACACACCATGTCGAAAACAAAATGGAAAACGCGGTTTCAGTTCGTCGCGCATGCGGTTGACGCATGCAGCCAACCTGTCTCCAAAGCAACAAAGCATGCTTAGCAGTTGTGGATTTTTACATATGAAAATTATGGTTGCAAGTGCCATTCCATATGTTTTCTCTCTCTATCTTTCTCCCTTTCTCTCTCTTCTCTCTCTCTCTCTCTCTCTCTCTCTCTCTCTCTCTCTCTCTCTCTCTCTCTCTCTCTCTCTCTCTCTCTCTCTCTCTCTTCTCAACCGCAGATTGGATTGGCCCTGCTGGCTATTCTTCAGCCTGCTTACTCAAGTATGTTGTTGTTGTTATTGTTGTTTCTTTATTTTAATTCACCATATGAACGGGCAAGGCTGCTTTCTCACCGGGGCTTTTTTGCAAAATGGTTGTAGTATTCTAGGGACTTATACAGTGGGGAGTCTTTACAGCGATCAGTTCTGGTGGGTGGGAGGTGCCAAGTGCGTGCGTGTCGAAGGCTATACTGGGCCGTCATTTGAGCGGGGGTGTTGAGCATGCGTATGTGTTGTGGGGCATATTGGTATTTTATGGAGTGAGCAAGAAGGGTGAGCTACACTTTGCGGTGAGAGAACATTGTCGGCCATTTGAGCCGATCGAGCAGTGTTGAATGATTCAGAGGAGTGTAGAGGGGAGACGGAGGCAAATTCTGGCCGCCTTGCGCTGGATTCGCTCAAGACGGTCAAGGGCTGTGATTGAGAGCGGGGTGACAGCAATGCATGCATATTATAGGCAGGATATAATTATGTTGTTGTTATTGTTGTTGTTGTTGTTGTTGTTGTTGTTGTTGTTGTTGTTGTTGTTGTTGTTGCTGTTGTTGTATACTTATTCATAGTGGGAATCAAAACAAGCATACGACTAATAAAAATGGACCCACTGGGTTCAGTCAGGGAAGTAAACTTCCTGAAAAGAGAACACAATGCCAGACCCACCAGGACTCGAACCCGGGACCTTGCTTGTAATGAGCAATGCTCTAACCATCTGAGTTATGGGATCAGGCTGAACCTAGACAGCGCTGACAAGTTTCTCACTCAAAAGGCAGCTCAGAACATGTGCCACACATTCTGATCGCACTTGGGTCTTTTTCCTCTCCGAGGGGACCAAAAACGGGACCCACAGGGAATGCAATTTAAAATTTAGTTGTTGTTGTTGGGTTGTCTTCTGGCTATTGGTATAATCATGTCACTCTAATACTAGTACCAACGAAATTTAGACATGCTACAATACAAAATTGGACACATTGTACTGTAAAGTACCGTTGATCCGCCCCCTGTCGATTTTCTACTTGTGAAGCGACTTTGGCATATACAGTCAACTAATTACTTTGCGAATAACAACATTTGGCGGGTCATCAGAAAATTGTTATTTTGAAATCCGACCACAGGCCCTGCAGCTTTACTTCGCTCTATATCTACCTTTGGCCTTTGAAAGTACTATAACACTTAGAGACAGCCAACAGGCCCCCCAGCATTCTCCTTATATGGTAGGTCGTCTGTACCTGTTTTCATTCCGCTCTGTAAGGAGCAATGAGGGCTCCCCCTGTAAGAAGAAGGCAACGTCTGGAGGGACTTCCTTATTAACTAGAGAAGACGGACATAGCGTCTTGCGCACACGTTTTGGGGCTCTGCTTGCATCATCAATGTTGGATGTTGACAGCATGTTACAAGGCCGCTGGCGGAGGACCACTGTGTTTGGAAACAGTGACCTTACTACTTGTACAACCATCCATGGTTGGCAGAGCCCCGGTCTTGCGCCCATTTTGAACTGAATGGGTATTATTAGCCCTGGTTCTGGGCCTCACTATACTGGGGGAGTTGATTTAGTCTTCTCGTTTTTGCTAGTGTACTGTCAGCCCGGAGCTCTGCCAACCGTGGATGGCTGTAGCAAGGTCACTGTTTCCGAACACGGTGGTCCTTCACCTTGTAATGTGCTGTCAACCAACAATATGTGTTCAACAAAGCAAGGTTTATCTACAACTTGTGACAACATCACACTAGAACGTAGCGAAACTCTGATTCAGGTCTGTGAGTGGGAAAGAGAGAGGTTCTGCGAAATGAAAATGCACACAAACTTTCGCTCTACGAAACTTCGCACGGAACTTGCAGGGAACGCGAAATAAACTGTCGTGGGAAGTTTCGTGAGATTGGGTCATGGCATACGTGCACTCAGTGCGTGCAAATTATAAAAATGAGCAAAGTTCGTGCGAAAATTCGTACATATTTTCGCAAGGCCTGTTTCATTTTGCAGAGCTGCCAAGTTTGGTTTTTCTGTGAATACCAGACCATCCTTCCCTACGGTAATTGCCCAGGCTATTCTCATAGTCAAAGCTACCACTGAACTTGAAAAATGCAATAATATCAACAAGAGTGGGTTAAACCCGCGAGGCTATTACCGTGCGTAGTCTGTTGGCTTGACGACAGCTCTTCTCTTGTTTTCTTGTATTGTTTTGTACACAGAGTTTGAACTAAATCGAATTCCTTCACGTACATGCTTTGGACAAACCGTCCTTAGTATAAACGTGGCTTATATGATCAGTTGCATCAGTAAGTGATATTAAAACAGCTTAGCACATACCTTTTTGGCTACATTTCGTTATTGGCTGCACTACAGTGGTAGTAGCTCGGCAGTGTACAGTGTACCAGAGTCAGGGGCGTAGGCGGGGTTTTGGAGGTGGTACGACCAAAGGTCGGCGCGGCCAAAGGTCGGCGCGGCCAAAGGCCGTTTTGGAGGGGGGGGTCCGGGGGACGTCCCCGGGAAATTTTTGTAAAAAAGACACAAAATCCTGCGTTCTGGGAACTTCTGGCACACTTCTGGCACAGTTTATAAGGCCATCATTTTTTATATCTATGTTTCACGTCAGTTCAACTTCCAGAATCATATGCGAGAGGTGGAAAAAATAAAAAATTGCAAAATAATAAAAAAGGCTCATCAGAGGTGTATAGCTACTGTACATAGCACAATAGCTCGTGCATGGTGTATATTCGAAAGAAAAATCGTACATCGAAGCACAAAATCTGGGTTATCAGCATGAGTAAATACATGTATTCACTTTAGATAGAGGAGACAACCGTTCGTGCCCATGCTTCGCTGGATTATTGGTAAATGTACTCAGACTTAGTGCAAAGTGCAAAGAGCTCCGGAACGACGCATCCTCTCAGCTTGAGGCGATCGATGCGGTCTGGTGGCTCATAGAATATTGCTCGCATGCAGATGCCGAACAAACGATTTACCAACGCTGGCATCGAGGCCATTTCTGAATTCCAGCTTCGCCGTATGCAACCAGTCCACACTGAGGTTACGTTTGGTTGGTCACATTCCCAAATGGGAATCACTTGGAATCACTCGGAATCATTCTCGCTCGTTTGGTTGGTCCAAAAAGTGCGTTAGGTTGGTCACATTCCACATGATTCCAGAATGGGAATCGCTGAGAATGATTCTTTTTGGAGAATGATCATTCCACCTCACATGCTGGAATGAGCATTCTCATTCCGGAATCAAAAATGATAATGGCTGCGATGAGCCAAACAATGTAGCAACAGGTTCAAGTGCCTCAAATCATGCACTCAGAAGTACCTTGACTTTCTCAAGGAAACTAGAGTCGGGTAAAAGAAAAGACAGCCGCCGTTCCACAACGACATCATGGAATTGCTATGTCAAGTGATTCCTAATTGATTCTGGCGCGTTAGTTTGGTCAGGTGATTCTTGCCGATTCCCATTCCAGAATGGTTCTCATTTACATTCTGAAAATGCCCAACCAAACGCAACCTGAGTGATGACTTGCGCGATCGTACACTCACTGTGCACGTTCGATTTTTTTTATCCGAAAAAAATCAAAACGTATGCGTGCGGACGACGCGAAACGTAGATATAAAAAATGATGGCCTAAAGTCCTAGCATTATTTCACGATCAGAAGAGACGTGCATGGACATGCACAAATGCATGAACATGCACAGATGCATGGGCATGGCAGATCTACGAGTATGATCGTACGAGTCTAGAAAAAGGACAAAGTCTGATGCGCATATGCATCGATGGATCCTGATTTTTTTATTATGGCTTTGCACGTTCCGGACGGACCACACTTTTCGAAAAGTGGTACGGCCATGGTCGTACCAGTCGTAGCGGGTGCTACGCCCCTGAGAGTTTGCTATTGTGTTCTATAATTCAGTTTTATCGGGTATTTTTTCAGAACTTCTGAAGATTGTCTACTCGCTGCAGCAGAGAACAAAAATGATGAAATGTAAACAAACCGTGATGTGTAGGAGGGATAGCTGAAAATGTGACTACAATATGGCAGGAATTGATGGACGATAATAGATATGAAAATGGTAAGAAAATGATGAGATTTGTAGAAGAGAAAAAGGACCAAGGAACTACAAGTTGCGCTATAATGTCCATTAAGGCCAAGTAAAAAAATTGATTGTTTTATCGTCCGCGCCCGCCCAAATGTTCACCCTCCCCGCACGAATTATTTTAGTTTTTAGTACTGGTAAATGTACTGTATGCACTGCGGTCTACAGCCTCTAATAAGCATGGCCGTAGATTTTCGAAGGTCAAGTCCACAGACTGAACCATAACTTAGTTGCCGTGGGCTTGAAAAGTGAAACTGATCATAAGCTGCCTGATTTTCTTCGGTTTTTCTGCGTAACGTTGATTGTTCCACTTTCCATTAATCCTCTGGGGTTGCGAACACCTAGTACCTGCCCTACAGCCATAAATGCACAATACAAAAAAATTAAAAACCTCCCGTCCGCCCCGATTTCTCGGGAAAATCTGACGAAACAATCAATATATTTTACATGGCCTAACACCACCAGTTTCTAAACAATCAGCTCATGCGATAACATTGCACGGCACTGACCGACGGTATTAACCCCTTTAGCACGAGCGTCGTACTAGTACGACGCACATTAGTTGCATGCCCCACGACCGTCGTACTAGTACGACGCTGTAGAGCGAAGCTGCCTATCGTGATCGTGGGGTCCGTATCGAGTCCCAGTGGCTCTGTCGTGGACCGCTGGCTGTTCGCGGGCTGCTGGGGGCTGCCTGGAACCGGCACGTGATTCGAGGCGGGAAAAATCGAACGAAAGGAGACGCACGGGGAATAGTTTCAGGCGAGAACATTTTGGTTGAAAATGCTGCGCCGCGCGAGAGGAAGAACTGTGGACGAAGCGCTCCACGAGCTGTTTCTGAGTTCAGACAGCGATGTGGAGCCGTCAGTGAGTAGCGACAGCGACGAGGAGGGTCTATGGACGCCAGCAAGGGCCAGAGTTCAGAACGAAACTGCGCCTGATGTGAGTGGCGGAGCAAGCGCCAGTGTCGATGAGTACGTCGCGGAGCACGCGGACATCGATGTTGCGAATGAAGCGCAGCCGGCGGACGTCCGTGACAGCAGTAGCAGCAGTAGTACTAGTGGCACGGAGAGCGACGATGATGAACAGGCGTCCGAGAGGTCGCATGTCCACATCCAGGAGCAGCTTGCCGCAGGAGACGATGGGAGCGAAGGTAATTATCTTTTCAATAGTATTTATTTGTTCGTGTGAATTTGAGTACGCTGTGTTTGCACTTTGAGCTGAGTAAAACTATTATACGTGCGTTTGTACCTTTGTTGAAAGTAGTCTTACTGTAATATTCCTGGCCATCGTTCAAGATCTGTTTGGCGTTATGCATAGCGTAACTGGAGAATTTTCAAACAAAATGTTGCCTAAATTCCAGAGTATTTGAGACGTACATCAGCCTTCCTACACTGTAGGGCATCATGTGGCCTGATATTTCCTACATTATTCGTGTTGTGATGTATTAGGGCAATGGAAGATGGAAGAAAACCAGCCCTTGCAAGACTCGTTCACTGCCCAGCCCGGTATCAAGGTGCCAGTGCCAGAAAATGCTGAGCCATATCATTATTTTTGCCTGTTTTTTACTTTACAATTTTGGCAATTGCTCTGCACTGAGACCAATCGATTTGCCCAGCAATATCTAAATGCACACCGTGACACACTCCCAGCTCGTAGCAGATTTAGGAAATGGGTAGACGTTAGCGTACAAGAAATGAAAGTGTTCTTTGCTCTATTTTTGCTGATG